GTAATTTTTGGGTTCCATTCAGATTCCTATCCCAACGAAGGCCATTGAGGAACTGCCTGTTTGACGAATTGCTTTTTGCGGAGGTGTTGCTTGGCGTGCCAGTGTTTTTTCACAGAGTTTATTTTGACCTTCAGAGTTGGCAAGTGTTAAACCACCTTGGTACGGCCATTTTCGGTTGCTTGCTCTCCTTGTTTTGTGCATGCTTGTGGTCTTTGCAAGCATTGTCTTAAGGGTCCAAAAAGAGGGGGAAAGAGAAGGTAAGTACTCCTTTAAAAGGGCCTTACCTTCTTGTGTTCTTCCCTTATCTAACAGAAGTGGCTGCAACGGGCCTATGATTCAGAAATGTGTCAGATTATGGTTTGAATTGTTTTGTGATGACGACAACAAAAAATATATATGATATACATAATTAGAAAAAAATTGCACAACTCCCTCAACACTTGTAATATTACTATCTCGAACACAAGTGTTGAACAAATATGAAAGGAAGTTAAAAAAAAAGCATATCCAACAAAACCAAACAAGAGTGACCCCTCCAAGATGTCTAACACACTGTTTGGTTTTTGGAGTTCTTTCATTACTCTTAACGCCTCCCCCGCTTCGCACATGTCGCATCTTTGATTCACTCACGTCCCACAGGACCTGGGATTAGACAAGCTACTTCAATCAAAGAGAGAGGCCACACGGCCACACCCAAGAATGTCCCAATAGTTCTAACAAATATTCAGGAACTCTTCCAAGGACAGTTGCTCCCCGCAAAAGATATCGTGAATTCCTTATGAGTTTCTGCTTTTGGCTGTTTGCTCCAATATCGTTTGCAGATGTTTGCAGCCTATCATCCATGACGAAATCTACCCAGACAAGTTGTTTCAAAACCTTTTACAGAAGCCCCCTCCATCACACAAATATATCCTTGTAGACAAACCTGCGTTGATCCGAGTTTGGTATTTGTTGAAAGGCAATATGAATTGCATCAAAACCATCGTTTCTCAAGTCTTCATCCTGGCAAATGTCTTCAATCAGAAAGCCTCCTTCATGATGGTTTGCTGCCCTAATGAGGTGAAGATTCCTTTTTCTTTATCCAGATGTCCTCCTTTTAAAGGCTATTTTTGAAGACCTGTTGCGTCAATAAAAAGCCTCCTCTATCGTACAGCGCTTCTTCTGTGCGTACAAAAAGTCGCCTTGGCGTAAGGAGTTCTTGGAGTGAAACATGTTTGAAGAACGGTCCTTGCAACACACTGTAATTCAAAGCCTCGCAAAGCTAAACGTTTGAACATGTTCGAGAATAGACATGATCAAGCAATATAACAAGAATTGTGGCAACCAACTGGAACAATAGAAGCCCATGTAGACTAGAAACAGTTTATTTATTGAGGACTAAGGAGTGACTAGTGAAAGAGCGGTTGGTATCAAAGTTGCAAGCTATTGGATATATTCTCAATCTAGCAGCGAACCGATCCTTTTGGGTTCTTTAAGATGTCCAACATCTAAGGGCAGAAAGAGCTGGGAAGCTGCTTGATCAATCTCGACGTGACACCCATGGGTGACAGTGAACTTACAAAACTCAAAACGCAGGTCTCACGGTGGCCGCTTTTTTCCTTCAAGATCCTAATTTGTTGGTGTCAAGGGCATGAAGAAAGGGAGGAGAAGAGTCGAAGAGTCTTCAAAAAGAGGGCACTAATGGAATGACTTTAGATGGTTTTTCTCTCTCGCAATTGCCCTCCGACGTTGCATTGAATCTGTGGTCAACAGGTTGGAGTCGCGCTTTTCTTGAGCCAACGTTCATGCGGACACTTCTTGATTTGTGCACCGCATCAAAGTGAAGGGGTAGTGGTTGTGCGTTCACACTCCCCCTGACCGCATTGCGGTCACCTTTCGCTTTCCACCAATCCGTGGTCAGCCATCAAAATGTTCGAATCTTCTGTCTGATTCGGAATCTTCTTTGACCCTTGAGGTCAGTCAAAGCCCACCGCGGGGCCGCCAAGGCTCACTCCGCTCATCCATGTTGGCGTCTCCTCCTCCGGCTGGCTGGGGCGCACCCCATTATGATCTGGTCCTCGGCATTCTTCTGGCTTCTCCAGGTCGCCATCATGACCTTGAGGTCCTCGATCCCCGTAGTGGCCGGGTCATGGCCCAAACCTTTTTGAGCCTGCCTGTGTAGCCCAGGCTCAACCCACTCTCAATCGCTTCTTGGCCCCTCGCCCGCACTGTTGATCTCGCACTTTGAAGAGCTCTCCATTGAAGCTGCCGTTGAACTCCTTCGGACATATCGCACCTCTCTCAGCTGCTCTCCTGGCCGCGCCCCTGTTGCCGAAGAGCTCCCCCGTGATGTAGTGCCTCAAGCCGGCTCACTAGAAGTCGAAGATCTTCCACGGGCGATCGGGCCCTGCTCCGCGTCCGCACTCCCTGAGTGGAATCTCCCGGAAGAACGTGTAGCCCACCCAGACATCCTCAGAGTCCATCACTGGCTGTTTTCCGCTCCTCCAGTCATCCTCCATCAATGTCTGCTTGAAGCCATGGCACCTCGCTCTCCTCACCCAATGAGGCCAGAAGTTTCTACCATCTCCCACAGCTACATTCTTTCACGGAAGGGCTCAGGATTCATTGCCTTGGCCTCGACCGGTGTTTGGGCGCAGCCTTCTGAGGATTCGAATTCCAAAAGCGTGTCACTGTGTTGATTGTCCAAGGCTCTAGGACGAGTTCCACTGCTTGCAAAGCCTGGTCACGATGCGATCCTCCTACAAGATGGCCTCCGGCTGCATCTGGATGAAGCGGCGTTCCCACCACCGCGCCCGGCGTGCAGTTGGCTGGCCCCTTGCTGTCCCAGGGCCCAGGAAGAAGCTCGAACGAGCGCCTCACTGCGTGTTGAAGCGGAGCCCCAAAAGCAGAGAAGGACATCTAAGAACCCTGTCCCATCGCCCTGTGCCACCAGCGCACCTTGATCCCCTTCACGTCCTCCAGGATGTAGTAGGCCTCCCGTCGCAGCTTGAGTTCCCCAACCTCCGGCCACTGCTGCCTGTGCTCCGCCCATCGCCACCTCGCATTCCAGCCTCTTCACCCACCAGCGTGGAAGTCGAGTTTCTGGTCGGCCGTCTCTTCCGCTGGCTCTGGTCGAGCGCCCTCACGATCAGCCCGGTCACGATCTCCCTCCTGCTGTAAACTTTACAATAATTTTAACATATTGTAACCAAATTGCATGGAGGAGCACTGGGTCCTGGGTGGGTGGGCGGGTTATTGACATACCTTGTGACGGCTGGGGTGTATAAATATACTACTTTGCGATCTGCAGAAACTGTTTCGTGCAGGTTTGAAGTTGCTCTTCGGCTCTTCATAGTTTCCGAACATTAGCTACCCAAGAAAACCGCAAAGTTTCTGAAGATCTTTTTTTAGTTTCCGAATAAAAAGTTGACCCACAGAATCGATGAAGATACGTCAGATGACTCTTTCAGTAGACAGGTGTTGGTTTGTGTAGGAAAATTAATTTCGCAGTCGCGGGCTTCACAGCAATGGCGCTCTAGGGACGGAGATGCAAGATCGTGCAGGAAATATTTTGCAGCAGATGTTGTATTACAGACATCAAACCCGGTGACCTAGCTATCTGTCATAAATTTTGTTCAACCGCCAGCCAACTCTGGATATATGGCCCCGCGGCCGCAGTACAGTTGCCCCTTTCCAACATATCGTCAACTGCGTACTGAAGCAATGTCTGCTTGAACGGCAAACTGGAATTATATATATATATTATATAGATAGTGATTCTGTTTAGCAATATACTGGCAACACAGCCCGTAGATTTGGCAATTGCTTCGCTGAAACGCTTTGACGTTGTGGATGGGACAAACCACTCTGCAGGAAGACGGCCTAGGTGTAGGTTTGGCACGGTGGTGAACGAGATCTGACAAATGCCAATATTTGGTCTAATTTAAGCAGGCAACACTTCAGCCAATGTCTTAGCTTGGTAATTGCTTGGTTCCATGGTTCCATACGTATGTGTGGGATGCCTTGCATGGACATTTGTTTCCCCCGTCCGCCGGCAAAAACAACCATCATACTATATAATTACACTTGCCTTGGGTCTTGGATTAACGACTCCTTGACAGTACAATGTTTTCCTTTTGTTCTTGCAAGTTGCAAGTGTGTTTGTTACCAGGTAGTGACATCGGAGAGAAAGATCAGAAAGGTCATCGGTTGGAAGATCGGTTGATCTAGAAAGAGAAAAGAGATGAAAAGAGTATGTTCGTGTGATTTGTATTTTACTTCTTCGCAGACATTGGTGTCAGGGGACCACGTGCCAAACCCATGACCCGTTCACTAACCTGATCTCCCCATGACATGGCCTTTATCACTTGTTTTCGTAGAACTAGTCAGGTGGACTGAATGAATGCAGCGTGTGACAAATAGGAGAATCATGCGTGAAGATGAAGATGCCTCACTTGTCACTTTGTGCGTCAGAGAGAGGTGCTGTAACTCATGAGGTCAATCTTTCAGACAGCAAGGGGGTCGTATAGGAAGTGGTGTGTGGGAAAGATGGAAGAACAATGTTGTATTTGTTATGTTTGAGGTTTATGGTTCGAGGCGTTTTATTGAGACAACAGAAGCGACTCCAAGAAAGGATTCCAGGCATGACAGTGGTGAGATCGACCAGTATTCTGGGTCACAATGCGGTTGCTGACTGCAGCCTGCCAAACCCTTTGAAGAAGATCAGAGATGAAGGAAAAATGTTTGTGGCTGACTGCAAGCTGCTTCCAGTGTTGGACTTGAAAGCGCCTCTATGCCACTATGCCTTCTTCGTTATGTCAGTAGGGTCGTAGATACCATAGGAATCATAGGACGATTCGGACCATTCGGTTAGTCAGTTATATATATATATATACATATATTATACATTATATATTTGATTATATAGTTGCTTATTTATCACCAAGGGGCCCAAGAGGTTTGCACTTGTAGGTCTATTTCTGAAAGTCACCATCAGTCCTACTTTTCCATCTGGTTTGTAGGACTTGGATGTCACTGAAGCCTCGAATGGATGGGACTGTGACGCAGATGAACCTGGCCCATTCCTTGACGCTTGGCATGGAGTGTTTTGTCGTTGTTTCATGCCATGGGGAAACAATGAGAAGTCAAACACTCTGAAGCAAGCTGTAGCTGTATAGCTGAAAAAGATGCCAAAGTACAATGCAGGGGGCATATGCGGGAATCAAGGTTTTCCAGTCCCTTATCAATTCAAACCTATTGTGGCCCTTGCAGATGACTTGAAATCACTACACTGCAACGCATCCTACAGTAGATAGACAAAATGTTAAAACCCCAGAGTCGGTAACTGTCACGAAACCCTTCCTCTTAAAATTCAAGATTGAATGCGTTTTATCCATTCGCGTTGCCAGGGTTTAATTTGTTTCGTCCGTTCGCCCAGACACTCTGGTAGGCTTGCCAACATTGAGTTTTGGGATGGAAGGGGTCAAGGTTGCTTGAAGGCTTTGAATAATTCGTCCATCTACGACGGGAGTGTGGTACTCGCTCCGGATTGCGTGGGAACTGAGCCTCTCCAGCAATCACGATGCAGATGGACACTGGCAAGTTTGCGCTCTCGCATAGCCCTGATTTAGGCTTTGTTCATCTTTGTTCCACCCGAGTTGGCCCCCATTTACATATCAGTACTTTGTGACTATTGGTTTTTCTTATCTATCTATATAAATATACACAGTCATTGTATGAAGCCTCCTGGCATTCTCCATTGTTCTCGAAATCTGTAAGGCCCAGCCGGCCTAGCCTCCAAATTGTTTAGATGTTCCGCTCAGTTTTGCCCTCATCCTAGTGTGACTCAGGGTGCACCTCTTGCAACTCTTGAATCCTGGTGGCCTTTCTTCTGATGAGCCAGTGCGGAACTACATGCGCTCTGTGCAGCAGGCGAGTGTGGATACAAAACACAAAGAATGGTGGAATGGTCAAGCGTCCAATGACTCTGAAGCTGTGATATGACAACTCAGATTTGCTTCACGGGACTGAACCTCCTTCAAAGTTCCGCTACTAGAGCCATCATTCCTCATTTCTTACATCCACACAATTGCTGCATTAAAGGTTTGCGGGTTGCAATTGAGCTCAATAGCAACGACATCAGGCACAAGTTCCATTCAATCAAGGCCACCTGATGCATCCTTGAAACTGAATGCTTAACCCGGCAGGCTCCCGACATCGCCATCAATTTTGTAGCTGGGCCAAAAGAGGAAGAGGAACTACCTGAGCAGCGGCAAAAACCTCTCATGAACAGTTTAAACAAGCTTGTAAACTCTAACTTGCTTGCGGAAGCCAAAACTGCAGTCGTGGAAGCTTGCGGACGCCACCGTGTAAGTATATGGCAAAATTCAACACCGCTGAAGCCTTGCGAAAGTGCATATTTATGTTCTTAACAGTCTTAACAATAGTAGATGACTAAGGAGATCTATCTAACCATGAGCACTTTTGAGAAATACGGCGCCGCGGAAGGGGATCTCAACCACACATGGCCCGTGGAAGCCAAAACACAGGTCGCGGAAGCGCCGCGCAAGCATTGGTGGAAGCAAGTCATGAGTATAACAGATCGTAAACCGGTTTTTGACACAGCTCACCTCAAATTCAACGTTTCGGTCGAATGAAAAGGAAGAACAATTTTGTGGTGTCGGCCATTTCAGTACCTATAGCCACCCCGAAGCCGCTGGTAATGAGTAATGAACTCCATTTTTGTTCAACCATTTTGACACTTGCCATACACAGGTCACGGTCATACAACCGGTTCAAAAAACCCTTTTATCATCAGTCATGCAGAAACATCCGGTCTTGTTTGCATTTCATTTGACAGGGATTGAATCACCACCACCAAGCAATGTGTGGTGTGGTGCTAAAAAGCCTCCATTGACGTGCAAACGTACATGGAAGACAGGCTGTGCAGAGTCGATCACGCAAGGAAGGCCATTGAAAGCTATGTACAGAAGTAGTACAGAAAAAACAGCATACACATGCAGGCATTGCGTAGTTCGGGGATACGAAACAAGATACAGTTTGATGGGAAGGGGCGGTGTGACTGCGACAGGGGTAATGGCCTTCGTGTCGAGCTGCTCTTCGGACGATAGTTCTTTGTGTTGATTGCTTTGGTTGCTGTAGCAAGGGATAGGACACCCCTCCCTACAAGAAGCAGGGCTGGCTCCAGAAGCTTGTGGCAGCCGCAAAGTTGAACTCAAAAAAGACTTACAGTATTAACCTAATTTACTGTTCCACGCCATGACATCATCATACATATATATATATAAATATATGTCTATTGGGACTCAGATTCATGTTCCCCTTAGTATCCAGGTTCGGTCGGAAGCGTTTAGTGCGACCCTTGAAGACTCCAGCCAGAAGACATGAGCCCCAGGCATCGGCAAACGTTGACACCATTTGGTACTAGTAGCTAGAAGAAGCTTCTAGCTACTAATAGCGATGCACTTGTTACTAGCTACTAGTAGTAATGCCCTTGTTACTACTTCCAAGGTTGGCTTCCTGAACACTGCAGGACGCTTAACTGACAGTGTGTGCCGACTTTTTCAAGGTTTTGGAGCATTTCAACTCTCAGCTCAGTGTAGCTAGCCAGATTCTGCTGTTTTATACTGTGTTACAACCATCTCCTGGCTATTCTGCAGAAGCCGGGGGGAAGTTTGGATATAGAACTTGACGGTGATTGGACAGTATACGCAGTAGACCACTTCTGCAAGTTTCATTCATGCGCGTGCACATTCAGTGGTTTCTGCCCGAGCACAGATTCGAGAAATTTGAGGTGCGACATGTAATGGCCAGCGCAGAAGAGGAAGTTGATGATGCTGCTTCCTTAGCATTTTACCTGCGTGAGCAAGGAGACACGGAGCTCATGTGTCAGAGTTGAATGGACAACTGATTGCTGACCTTTCGTTCGTGTGCACACTGTATACAAGCACTTCAAACTCGAATGACCGAACGGCAACTTGAGCGGAGAAATCACGAAAGCTACTGTAGCATCAGCATCAGCTAGCTGGAGTTGCTCTTGCTTCAAGTTTGTTGGGCCGGAATTGCCTACTGCGTGAAGTGATCACTGCTAGCGGGGGTCTTCAGAGTTCACCCCCCCCCCACCGCGTTGCCCGCTTGTTGCTGCTTGCCTGAGGGTCCTGACCTGGCCTTGCTAGCTTTCGTCACCAACCCATGGTAGCTTTCGTTGTTGAAAGACTTGGTAGTTGCTTTGCCTTTTAAGGCCAAAGGAGATCGAGGCGCATTGATGCATGCTCGAGCCTGACGTAGTGAACGCAGGGTGCAATATCACCACAAACATCATGTTTATGCTGTGAGAACCGTTTCACTGTAAATCGAAGTTCACGTTGCATGTGATGACTTATTATGGCAGATACAGTAGATGCCCAGGGCCAAACAAAGCGTCATTGAAAGTGTGTACCACTCGCTTTTTCTTTTCAGCTCTTCAGCTACAAAGATTTTTTTCTTGGCATCACAGGAGAAAAGAAAAAGACTGCCAGTAGCTCGACAGCAGAACAGGACAGGTTGCTTATTCAATTCACATCAATTCACTAGTTCACATGAATAGAACTTCCAGGCAGCTTTAAGTGGTGTGTGAAGGTAGTAGCATATAATAGGCTAGATCTCTCCAACTGCGAGTCGACCGATGCTGGTTCATTCAAAGACCAATCGTACCAACATGTCCTCGATTCGGCGAATCTTCGCCTTTTAGGATAGGTGATGGCGCCTTAGGCTGAATCATTAGGGTTTGCTAAGTGCCTGAGGGCATTACTAGTACTAGTATATAGCTAGAAGATGTAGCAAGGGCATCGCTACCAGGGTTTGCTAAGTGCCTGAGGCTACACTTCATGACAGGATTAGAGCATCCGCACCTGAAGCTGCCCAAGGCAGAGAGGTAGAATGAGGACAGTCCCCACTCGACGGAAAGAGTGATTTGGATTTCTTAAGTATACAGTTGCAAGAGAAGCCAGTTTAAGTCATATGGCTCAGGAATGGAGGCTGTTCAACTGCCACGGCTAAAAATATGCTGCGGCTTGTACAAAGGTATCCGGTCTTTCCGAGAGTTCGCGCAAAAGGTCAGACTGGGTAAGGCTTCTTGTGCTTCTACTTGCAAAGGATGAGTCAGGCTGAAGACAGCACCCCAAGCCCGCGCCGAATTCCAAACTATCTCGGGAGCATCGGAGATTCCTTAAGCTTTGAGTGCTTGCTTCAACCTGCGGTCATAGTGACATAATTACATGATGCCAAGAGGACCTAGCTGCTGAGTCCTATGGACACTTACCACCTTGCAGTGTTTTGCTTGGCAGGTTATACTGAGATGATTTGTACTGGGATGCGGTGCTGCTTATAGCCAGCTGAACGCCAGTTGAACCACTTAATTGACCTCGTCTTGAAGATTGCAAGGGTGATATTCGGGGCTCGGCATGCGTGTTCACATCTCTCGGCATGGCGTCCAGGTTCGGTTGAGCACGTTGCAGAGCAGTCTAAGACCTTGCCTCAGCTTGCCCAGCAACGTTGTTGTGCAGGGTTCCTTCTGCAAAATCCATTGGTTCCGTGAATGCCAAGGTCAAACAAGTGTGGAGGCAAGATAACAGACACCAGAAGGTACACTCAAAACACAACATCAATGCCACAAGCATTGATAACTTTCGATGGCATTGGTTCAGAGTCCTGGCAGAGCGATTGAAGAAGACCAATCATGATTATTGGTTGCCACCTGGCAAGTTATGATGATAATTCCCTCATTTTGTTTACTATTTTGCATTTGATTCTAGGCAACTATCTGAAAACGGAATGCTGGCGAAGAATATGTCCAACTCAACAGTTTTAAACAAACAAGTCAATTATTTTGGTGCGCGCTGTGGGCCTGCAGGGCCAAGATGACAAATCTCAGCGGATGGAGAATGTCGATTAAGCTCCGAAGCAAGAAGGTTTTTGGCTCAAGAACATTAAAGAACACATATCCTATAATAAATATATTGATTTAGAATGCAATATAGTTATATTTATCGTAAAAAAATCTAATTGCATTATTATATAAAATATATAGAATAGATATTAATAAATATAATTTATGTTTTAATTGTGGTATATGTTCATTGTTTGAATATATTTAATTTTGTTCGGTGTTTTTTCTTTTTAAACAAATTAATTTCGATTAACGATGTTCGATTTGTGTGTGTTATGTTTTCGGCGATTAGTTTTTATTTGTTTTTTTAGAAGGTAATTGTGCATATGTTTTTCTTTAAGGTTGAAATTATTCTTTTGTGATTTTTAGATTTTATATTGGTAGATTTTTATTATTGGTTTGGTTATTGTTTCGTATTTCGGGTCTATATGGAAAATATTGATTTGATTGTTATAGATATAATTCGCGGTATTGTATTATTTTTATTGTTCGTTGATAAATTTTATATATAATGGTTTGATTTTTTTGATTCGTTTTGTTTTAAATCTTTTGTATAAAAATATTGAATTGATTGATTTTGTATATGAAATTGTTTTTTGATTATTTTTGTTTTGTTTTTTTTTTAAATTAGGTAAGTGATTTATATATTTTATAATATTTGAGGATTTTTCGTATTCGGAAATTTTTTGTGCGATTTAGGTTGGATTTATTTTTTATGTTTATATTATTATAAAATATAGATGTTTTGGTTTTATAAAATGATATAATTATTCTATATTTTATAAAGTTCGGAGGGAAAAAAAGAAATGGATTGGTTTTAGGAAATGATATTATTTTGTAGAGGAGGTATGGTATTTAGTAAACGGAAAATTGGAATTTTTTCGATTGTTTTTGAGATTTTTTGATTATTTTTTAGAAATTGATTTTTATTTTACAAATGTTATGATGTTTTTTGATATTTGAGAAAGATAATACTAACAATACATTATAAGAAGGATACGGACGTTACGTTACTTGTCGTTGGCGTGGCTATGGTATGGTGTTTTATGCGGTTCCCGTTTATCGATGGTACGTAACCTCTGAATCTTCTTAGAGAGGTTGTGCATATGAGCAAGGAGCTCTCCTTGAGGGTGTTGTTGTAGAATTTGTTTAAGCCATCGAAATTCATTAATATTTAAATCTGTCTTTATTCTTTATAAGAAAAAGGCGGCTGTATAGCTGGGTATAACGCCCTTAACTTGTGGAAAATTCATTAGGTTTGTAGCTGAGGCTTGGGAAAATTCCTAATCGAACTATACAAAGCATTTATTCTGCATCTCATCCGATATTGGAGAAAAAATCCCTGTCCTAAATTAATTTTTTTCTCCATGCTTGATTATGAGATTTGATCTCACATGTGGTTGCGAATGAAAAAAATTTGAGAATTGATATATAATATTATTTCTATTTTTTTTTGTTAATTACATTAATTTATATTTTTGTTGTTATAAAAAGGTTGTTTTATTATTTTAT